GGTTTGAAACACAATGTTGATATTGTCCTGTGAGTAATCATCAGGACTTCTCACTCAGAATATCCCTGTCTAGTAAATATAGAGGGAGATCTGGTGGCACAGTGCCTACGGCATTTGACTGCTAACCAGAAGGTTGGCAGTTCAAAAACACCAGCCACTCTGCAGAAGGAAAATGGGGCAATCTACTTCCATAAAGATTTACCACCTCAAAAACCCAATGGGGGTCATTATGAGTCATAATTGACTCAATGGCAATGGCTTTTAGAGTTTTAGTAAATATAGCAAAAAAGGGGAAGGCCCGCAGTGACTTGGATTGACACAGTGGTTCCAATGATGGCTCAAACAGAGCAGGGATTGTGAGGATAGCTCAGGACATGCAGTGTTTCATTCTGTTGTACTAGGGTCACTATGAGTCAGAACCAACTCAAAGGCGCCCATCAAGAACAACAAGAGTAAATATAGATAAGAGTTCATCTAACTTGCAGCCAAGCAGTAAAGAGACAATCCTCCCTGTGGAAGTTTTCCTTGAATTCCATCTGAATCTGATTATTTTTCAGAAATAAAACTGTGTCAGTGTGGTTCCTTTGTCTTTTATCCCAAACCGAAGATATATAAGGAAGAACATGGAGGTTGGAAGAGTATTAGCTTTAGGCTTTGGGAAACTCCCCCTAGGTCCATGTTTCTCATCCATAAAACAAAGTTAATAAAACCTGTAGCTTTTACTTGATAGGGAATTGTTAGAACTTAACCAAACGTATGTAAAAGAACTTTTGTTGCTGTCATTGTTAGCTACCAGTCAGTTGGCCCCTGACATATGGTGACCCCATGCACAACACAATGGATGGAACAAAACACTGCCCAGTCCTGAGCCTCCGCCATGATCAGTTAAGGGTTGTACTGGTGTGATCCATCAAGGTTTTTGTTGGCTGATTTTCACAAATAGATCACCAGACCTTTCTTTCTACTCAGTCTTAGTCTGGAAGCTCCACTAAAACCTGTTGAGCATCATAGCAACACACAAGCCTCTACTGACAGGCAGGTTGTCATTGTGCTTGAAAGGTATTAGCTGGCAAATGAAACTGGGTCTCCCAAATGGAACATGAGAACTCTACTACTAAACCACACTGTCCTGAAGGAAGTGCAAAATAATGATGGTGATGTCAATATTTACTGAGTGAGTATCATGTGTTTTGGTTACCTAGTGCCACTTTGACAGGAATTTACCACAAATGGGATGGCTTGAACAAATAAGAGTTTATTCTATTACAGTTTTGGAGGCTAGAAGACCAAGTTCAAAGTGCCAGGCTCTAGGGCTAGGTGAAAGCCCCTCGGCCTTGGGCTTCAGCTTTGCCTCTTGCCCCCAGCCCACTGAAGCTAGAGACATCCCTTCACTCAGGCAGATGCTGACTGTTGAGGCCAACAAACCCAAGGTCGACAAGTGAGAAGACACAGGCCTGATACCACATGGCAAACCACATGGCAGGCCACTAATTCAAGTCCATTAAAAGTCCCAGAATCAGCAGAGCATGGCAGGCTGCTGAATGAAGACTTGACTGCATGCAGGGTTCAAGCACACCAAAAAGCTAAAGACTGTCTTCAAAGTTGCTTCTTATATACTGAAAGCAGCCCACATCCTTAGAGCAGCTACTCAGCTGCTCCAACAAATTCCACCATGGAGTTAATTACCCATCTCATCATGGGGAATAACTACATCCAGCTTCCCAGCCACTCAACTAGAACCAGCCAAGTTGACACACAAACATAACTTGCACACCATGTACTTGGAATTTTTCATATATTATCATTTAATACAATAATTCAGAAAGGTAAATATTGTTATTATGCCCATTTTATAGATAAGAAAACCAAGCCTTAGAGAGGCTAAGCAACTTGTCAATGATCATACTGTTTATCAGTAGCTAAGCATAATGAATATTTGTTATTTCTTGACCCACAGCATTCATTTTCCCTTTCTAATAGCATTTCAGTTACCTTCTGAGAAATCACATCTCATTAAGTAGAGTCTTAATAAATGGGAAAGTTTTATAATTTGCATTATAAAAATTGAAAAGTGAATTTCTTCTTTTCACTAGACTGGTGCTGAGAGGAAGACTAAATTGAGTCAAACATTCTTTTCTGAGACTTTGACCCTTGAGAAAGTGATACTAGGCTTGCAAGATATAGTGATATTTCCAGTCATTCAGAAGCAACATTCTGATCTAAAATTCCCTTTAATTCTTCCTGCAAAAGCCTTATTTTAAAGAAGGGTTAAATAACAAAGATGTCACCTGGAGGACTAAGGTGCACTTGATCCAGGCCATGATATTTTCAACTGCCTTATATGCCTGTGAAAACTGGACAATGAATAAGGAAGAGCAAAGAACAATAGATGCCTTTGAATTATGATGTTGTCAAAGAATATGGAATATATCATGGACTGCCAGAAGAATGAACAAATCTTAGAAGAAATACAGCCAGGTACCCCTTAGAAGCAAGAATGGCAAAACATCATCTCACATACTATGGACATGTTATCATGTCTGGTAAAGTAGAGGGTCAGGGAAAAAGAGCAAGACCCTCAGTGAGATGACTTGACACAGGGGCTGCAACATTAGGTTCAAATACAGCAAGGATTTTGAGGATGGCACAAGACTGCACTGAAATGGTGGATAAACCAAAAAAAAAAAAAAAAAAAACTCACTGCCATGGAGTTGGAGCCAACTCATAGCGACCCCTCCTTGGGTTTCCAAGGCAGTATCACTGCAGAAGTATATTGCCCAACTTTCCTTCTGAGGAGTGGCTGGTGGGTTTGAACCTCTAGCCTTCTGGTCAACAGTCATATGCCTTAGGCACTATGCCACCAGAGATAGGGAAAGACAGAAAGGAAAAGGAAGACTCCCCTGAGATGGCATAACCACAGATCTAACAGCTCTGTACTCAATTAAATTTATTTTTAAATGTTCACTCCCTTCTGGTCTAGGAAACCAAGTAATTTTCCTAAAGTAGCCCTGGATTGGTAATATTCATAGCAAAAGCAAAGGCAAATCATTGTGAAGCATATTCACTCAACAAAACCTTAAGAATTCCCATAGATAGACCCTAAAAGTATACTAGCTCAAAATTTAAAACTACAAAAAGATAAAAGAAGTAAGCCACTGTGAGTAATAACAGAAATTACAAATAGCAGAACTAGATCTCAAGGACTTCTGATATCAGACTTAGTGGATGCAAAATATAAAATATGTAAGTTTAGAATATTTAAAGAAAAAAAAGAGAGAATTGAGAAAAATTAACAAAGTTACAATTAAGATAAAATGATTTTGATCAGCCAGAGTTGAAAAAAGAGGCAAACAAAATGTCTCGAAATGAGGATGTGTTGCGATTAAATTTAACATTGCAAAGAACCACTTAAAGAGCATATTAAACATAGCTGTCAAGGAAATTCATAAATCAAAAGACAGATTTAAAAAAATCTACATCTCTGCCTGACACCTCTATGATACCCCTACTGACACCGTAAGCCCTCACAAAATCTACAACTGAACCTCTTGGAGCCAATGTTTCTGATTATCTCCAGGAAGTTTCATCATTATTCTAACGTTTATAGAACTATATTTATAACTGTCATTGTCTTTAGTAAACTTTATAATTAAGCTTCATTTAACAAAACAAGAAAAAATTTGAAGCAAACTACTTAAAAAATGCTATGAAATAACCCTTATCCTTTCATACTCAAAGACAGCACAGAGAACAGAAAGATAGAAAAAATGAAATAATTATAAATGTAAATGATAGAATTATATCTAAATATATAAATGTTATATCTATATGATATGCCAATATAATGTTATATATGTTTTTGGAGTTCTGGTGGTACAATGCCTAAGGCATTTGACTGCTAACCAGAAGGTTAGCAGTTCAAACCCAACAGATGCTCCACAGAAGGAAGATGGGACGATCCACTTCCATAAAGCTTTACGGCCTTAGAAACCCCATGGGGGTTGCTATGAGTCAGAATTGACATGATGGCAGTGGTTTTGTTTGCTTGTTTGTTTTTAAGAAAGATAAACTCCACAATCAGACTTACCATATTCCAAGTGTGAAAAAAATCCATTTATCCATTCAATACGATTTATTAAATACCTTCTATCACACACTGTTTTGGGCTCTAAGATATAGAAGTAATCACAACACAAAATCACTGCTCTCCTAGAAATAACAAAAATAGAACTTAAAATCATCCAGAGCTGAAAAATTATCTCTAAAGAATGACAATTTTACTGAAAATAAATCTCAGCAGTTAAAATGGAAACTAGAAAATACTGAGAAAATATATTTGTAAAAAAGAGAAAATAGTCAATCTAGAATTGTATATTCAACTAAACTATCATTTATGAATGAGAGCAAAACCTCTGTTGAATTTTTAGATGAACAAAAACTAAGTCTACAACTAATAAACTCCAAATAGAGGCACTTTTAAAATATTTACTTAAAAGAAAATGTTGCTGTCTAGTTGATTCCAACTTAAAGCAAGGCGATGGGATAGAATTGTCCCATAGGGTTTTCAAGGCTGTAAATCTTCATGGAAGCAGACTGCCACATCTTTCTCCCACTGAGCCCCTTCGAACCGCTCACCTTTCAGTTAGCAGCTGAGTGCTTAACCCCCACACAACCAGTGTTCCTAAACCAAAAACTGACTGCCATCAGGCTGACCCTACAGGACAGAGTAGAATTGCTCTACAGTTTCCAAGGTTGTAAATCTTTGTAGAAGCAGGCTGCCTCATCTTTCTTCTGCAAAGTGCTTCATGGATTCAAAGCACCAACATTTTGGTTAGCAGACAAATGCTTTAACCACTGCATCAGAGCTCCTCCCAAAGCTCCTAGAAGAGGACAAACGATATCTGAAGAAAGAAAAGCTCACAGAATGGTGAGCAAAGTAGAGTTCCTGAAACAAAAGTCATGGTGACTCTATTTTCCTTTGTGTATGAATATAATCTTACCCATGCTGTACCAATAGCCCTAAGGACAGAGATTCCATGGTTGCCAGATGCTGTCAAGTTTATTCAGCTCAGGGTGCCCCAGTGAGTGCAGATGAGTTCTGCTCCATAGGATTGTCAAGGCTGTGACTTTGCAGAAGCAGATTGCCAGATCTGTTTTCTCAAGTGCTTCTGAGGGGCTTGAAACACCAGTCTTTTGTGACTAGTCCAGCGTTTAGCCATTTGCATCACCCAGTGACACCTCCAGAATACAGTAGCAAAGCACTACTAAATTAAAGATGACTGACTGTTAGAGAAAATGATCCTGATTACATTGCCTGTGAAATTCGGATATACCCACATACACAAGACATATAAGTATATAATTAACCTTGAAAAAATAATATTTTCATCTGAATAAATTAACCTAGATAATAGTAACATATATATATATATATATATATTAAAAGAAAATAAAACCCTATTTTCTTCCTTTTGGGTACCATTAAGGGTAATGACTTTTCCTAGGATCTGCTTTTTCTATCAATTATAATTTTTGTTATCTTTTTCATGCTCATATTATTGTCACAGCTTAGCCAGTGGGAGCTCTTTTTCAGTTGGCTTCTGAGTCCTGTCAACACCATGTCAGAACATTTCAAAAGCATACTTGTTTTCTAGCAACAAAAGTTTCTAGGCTGATCCTGAAATATCTCTCTTCCCCAAGGTGCAGAATTAGCTCCTCCTAAAAACTGATATTTTTAGTTAAGTTTTGTCATCCCTCTGTGATGTCTCCACTTCATAGCCTCACAAAAAAAAAAAAAAACCTATAATTGTACTTCTTTACTTTTTTATTTTATGAAACAGGTGATTTTTTCACTATTTTTGCTAAAACTTACATAATCACTTCATTCCTAAAATCTGTCCATAAAAATTTTCTAAAATAAAACAATAATATTTTAAGTAATTTGTAATATGTTTATCTGGCTATGATTTTATACACGTGTACTTCATGATTCAGGTCCCATTTCAGCATAATGCTTGTAATTATTTACAGGAAATTTATCATTATTCTAATATTTATTGAGCTATATTTTTATAGAGCTGCATTGTCTCCAGTAATTTTATTATTAATTTTTATTTAACTCTGAAAGAAAGAATTTTAAGCCAACTTCTTCAAAAATACTAAGAAATATACTTTATCCTTCCTAACAGGAGACAAAAATGTAAATCTATTTTGTTCATTTTTTTCATTCAAATAAGAGAAGCATAATATCAGTAAATAATAAGACAAATTAGAACTTAAAAGCATTTTTCAGTCTTTGCTTCTAAAGGAACTGAGACTTCAGTGTATGCAGAAATACAGATTCATATGGAAATTCATTATCTAAACCTACACAGGAAAAGCATCTTTAGATCTCTGTTTGATATTTATATGGCCAAAGGGTACCCTTTCCCACTAGACTGATAGAAACTGACACTTTCAACTTTATGATTGCTCAAACTGAAAAAGGTTCCCCTAAGGATAGAATAGCAATATTCAATTAAAGACGTCTGATTGTTAGAGAAAATTATACTTATTTTTTTGTCCCTGAAACTCAAATTAATTATGCAAGGTAATTATTTCTCCACCATTTAAGACTGCCTCTCTGTTTTGATTTATTGGACCTGTCTTGAATCCCTTGGTGACTTAAAATCTATGATTTTTCAAAGATAATTAAGAAATATGTTTCCTTTCCTGGATGGAATTTATTTAAGAGGTTTAAGGACAATGATCTTGAGATACAGTCTCTTGACACGAGTAATTATAACCTGTGTTTGGTTTTGCCAAAACCAAACTATACTGAGAATCCAAATTCTTCTCCAAATCATTCAGATTGTTACAGTTCCAAAACCAAAAATGATTTTGGCTGAATCTGAAATGATTATCAAATAATTTGTCCCAAATTATTGCCACTCGTCCCCATGCTTGTTACCATAAGGAAAAAAAAAAAAAAAGGTGGAGAGGTTGAATATGATTAAAAAGCAAGTTTTCCTGGCATTGTTTTTATATTAATTCCATCAGTCAATATGTTGTTGTGTTGTTATGTGCTGTCGAGTCGGACCCGACTCATAGCAACCCCTTCTTGGGTTTCCAAGGCAGTATCACTGTGGAAGTAGATTGCCCCATCTTCCTTCTGAGGAGTGGCTGGTGGGTTTGAACCACCAGCCTTCTGGTTAGCAGCCAAGTGCCTTAGGCAATTAGATATTTTATTAGGTTATAAAATGTGATTTTCCCCCTAATACAATACATATGTAGCAAATAGGTTATGTTGCATAAGCCATTTCCTATTGTCTGGTAATGAGTCTCTCTTATTGTTCTTGTTAGGTTCCATCAAGTCGGCTTCAACTTATAGTAACCCTGTGTACAACAGAATGAACACTGGCTGGTCCTGCATCATTCTCATAATCGTTGCTATGTTTGAGCCTATCATTGCAGCCACTGTGTCAATCCATCCTGTTGAGGGTCTTCCCCCTCCACTTTACCAAGCATGATATCTTTCTCCAGGGAATGGCCCCTCTGAAACATGACCAAAGTATCAGAGATGAAGTCTGGTCATTCTTTCTTCTAAAGAACATTCTGTCTGTACTTCCTCCAAGATAGATTTGTTCTTTCTTCTAGAAATCTATGGTACATTCAATATTCTTCACCAATACCACAATTCAAATGAATCAATTCTTCAGTCTTCCATATTCATTGTCCAGGTCTCACATGCGTAATAGACCACTGAAAATCCCAAATGGCTTGGGTCAGGTACACCTTAGTCTTTAATGTGACTTCTTTGCTCTTAAACACTTTAAAGAGGTCTTTTGCAGCAGATTTTCCCCATGCAATACATCGTTTGATTTCTTGACCGATTATTAATGGATGTTTGCAGCTGTGTCTTCACACTTTGAGTCATGCTACATCAGCAAATGAAGGTCCAGAGAGTTTTACTCCATGTGTGTCATTAAGCTTGACTCCGCTTTGAAGAGGCAATTCTTCCCCAGTCATATTTTGAGTGCCTTCCAGCCTGAAAGGCTCATCTTCTGGTGCTATATATCAGGCAATGTTTCCCTGCAATTCATAAGGTTTTCAGAGGTTAATTTTGTTTTTGTTTTTGTTTTTAAGAAGTAGACCTGGCCACATCCTTCTTCCTAGTCTGTCTGGAAGCTCAGCTGACACCTGTCCATCATGGATGACTTCATGTTATTTGAAATACCAGTGGCATAGCTCCCAGCATCACAGCATCAATCAAACTGCCACAGTATGACAAACTGACAGACAAGAATGAGGAAGTGTAGGACTCATTCAAGAGTGATAAATACTGCAGCACAATCATAGCCATAACTGAAGGACTGAAATCTTATTTTTGGCCATCCTGTCTCAAAGGGGACTAGAAAGGGCTCCTTAGGACATTGTGCCTACTTTTAAAAAGATTAAAGAATATTCTCTTCTGATTTTGCAATATCTGACACAATTGACATTCTATAAGTCCCTTTAAAACTTAATTTTTCAAATATCCACTCACATGTAATTCAATTTAATTGGAAAAAAAATCATAGAGTACCTACCATGAGTTTCTATACTTGTGACTGGAGTTAAAATAGTAAACACAATAGGCATAATATTCCCCCTCATAAAGCTCTCTCATGTAGCAGGAAGACAATAAGTAATTTTCCCTTACTCGTCTGTCAGTTTGTAATACTGTGGTGGCTTGTGTGTTATGATGATGCTAGAAGCTATGCCACTGATACTTCAATTACCAGGAAGGTCATTCATGGTGGACAGGTTTCAATGGAGCTTGCAGACTAAGACTAACACAGATTAAGACTAGGAATAAACCTTGGCAACCTACTCCTGAAAATAAACCAAAGAAATCCTATGGTTCAAAACAAGAGTAATGTCTGATATAGTGCTGAAAGCTGAGTCCCCTAGGTTGGAAGGTAACAATGGACTCAAGCATGATGATCATCATCGGGATGGCATGGGACCAGGCAGCATTTTATTCTGTTGTGCATGGGGTTTCCATGACTCAGAGTTGACTCAAAGTCAACTAACAATAACCACAACATTGAGTAATTATGGTAATGATAATCTAAATGAACATTATATCATGCTTTGCAATTTATTTTCTAACATTAAAAAAAAAAACACCTCATTATATTGCTTTCAAGTTGATTTTGACACACTGTCACCCTATAGGTCAAAGGAGAATTGCCCATAGGGTTTCCAAGGTTGTAATCACTATTGAAGAAGACTGCCACATCTTTCCCATTGAGCCACTGATGGACTTGAACCACTGACTTGTTAGCAACCAAGTGTTTTAACCATTAAGCTACAATGCCTTGAGTTTCTGGGGAAAAAAATGTCCATAATGTACTTGATCAGTACATCATTAGATTTGGTTGTGCCTAAGAGGCACTGGAAGGCGACTTCTTCTGACCTCCTCTAACTTCACGAGAAAAAGACAGAATCACCATCAACAGCCCAAGGCTTATTCCTATGTGACCAGATATGTCACTACCCTCTACTCTTTTACCAATTCTGACACCATCCATCTCTCCCATGGCACTCACTCCTTCTCTGCTGGGTTCGATGATCCATCACAATGGCTACAAAGAACTCACAGACAATACTCATGATTATGGGGTTTATTTTGGAAGTAACAGGCTACAATTCAGGTTCAGGAATGCATTTAAGATACAGTTCTCTGATCAAAACAGTCTCCCTTCTGCTATGCCCTCAGAGTCCCCTCTCTGGCCCTTGGCCTCTCAGCTTGGCCTCTGCTCTGTTTGGGCAAGTGTTACAAAGCTCTTCTAGCTCTGCCTATGGGTGCACCCAACTCCATCAGCAAGCCTCCTGCCAAAGGGACTCAGCTTTCTAGCTCTGTGGGCCAGTTAAGCCCAGCGCTCTGTCTCATGCCTCTTGGTTCTACTGAGACTGTCTCTCTGGTGGATGTCTCTCCCTGCCAAGGTACCTCTCTCTGCCAGAATGTCTCTGTCTGCCAGGGTATCTCTCTCTTCTGGGCATCTCTGCCAAGGA